TGCATTACCAAAGTCAAAAAATGAAATGGATTCCGATTTTTACTCTGTGAAACTTCATATTTTTTGCATTTTAAAAAAATAATTAAATAATACCTTTTTCTCATCTATTGATCACTTACTGAATGATTGATAGTGCAATGCCAACCTTAAATAAAATGGTTAGTTTGCAGATTATGGACTAAATGCACTGTCCATGTGGATATGTCTCATAAGTGAGTGGGTTCTCCATTCCTTAACTATGGTGTCAGCAGAGACTGTATTGGAAGCTATCCATCCAAGATCACAAACAGAAGTGTATGAAGAGCATATTACTAAACAACACAATTAGTTGGAAATAATTGAAAAACTCATCATCCTATTTAAAGTATACCGGTTCATCCAAACTACTTGGCAAGTTTGTTGTGATGCGAACCATTCGATTGTGTGGGGTCAGTTTGTCCCAGTGCATCATTGATGAACCAGACCCCAAACGAGCAGACGAGCAGTACGGTAATTAGATCACTGACGTTTGACTAACGAAATAGATAAATCAGCCTGATTGATTTCTAACTATTCATGTTGTCCATTAGTATGTTTCGTAATGGCAATCTATTCCAATCAAATTTCAAGTATTCACTTAACTAAGTAATAAACATAACCATCAAGATGAATGAGTTGACATTATGACACACTGTGTTTTAGTTCTTGATATCTAAGAGTTTTCAACAAAAATCTTCCAAACTGTAAATATGTGTCACTGAATTAAATCATACAGATCGGCTTTCATTTTGCGCTCTTAAGTTTATCAGTTCTAGTCTTCAGTGTAAAAACAGCACAGTTTAATGTTAATGTCCATCCTTTGGTCGTCTTCAGATATTAGTATCTTCTAAGATGTATACATAGGCTCGTAACTGTCACTTGATTTGTCTGAAATATTCTTAGTTGGCATAGGAGTGATTATATCATAGGTCACATAAGGGTTTGAAAAAGATTTCTTTGTCAGCTTCAGTCTTCAGTTATTCATCAAAATACCATCCGTTTTAAAGATTATGTTTCTTCAGATAAAACGTAAATGAGTACCAAGTGAATAACTACTGTCACAACTCAGTTAATACATTACTGTCAAGGTTTCAGTTAACCAGGAAGTTGAGTTTTGAATGGGGTGTGTTTAACCAGGTTTTCGTTTTTGATCAAGTTTATTTTGTTATAATGAATTCAGATATTTGTATCACTAGCACTGTTTTTCAGGAGAAAATGAGATTTTAAAAAATGATTCAACATGATCCATCTTTACCTTTCCATTTCATTTTTATTTTCAAGTTTATGGTTACATACAATGACTTTGTTGAACATTGAATGACATTTACTCGTTTATACCTTATTTTTAGTTTTTGTACTGCTTAGTCTGAATCATGCACTCACTTCAATGTATACAACTTTGTATAATGTGTAGTAAAACACTGCCCAGCTGAATAATAATCTAATACTCCATAGATTAGTTAAATAAGAGAGCTGGTTAGCAGTTTATTCTTGATGGCTAGTCAGTAGAGATTGGAAAAAGCTTTTGGTTCGAATACTATAGTGATGCATATTTTCTGTCAAACTCATTCAGTGTTCTTGAATCACCCATGCATTCACATTTTCATCAGAAGTATGGGGTACTGAAAGGATTACACACTGACTGAGCATTACAGAATATCCGATTTCATGCTGTTTGTTCCTAAGTGTTGAAGAATTCTATCCAACTATCATTTTGCAATGTGGTCAACAAACTGGGAGATACACAAGATTGACAGCTCTCAAGTGACAACTGAATGTTTCTGTTCTGTTGATTGAAGAAGTGAGTGAGAAGGATTTGGATTACTGAGGCTGCAGATACGCCTCATTGGTGAATGCCAGTACGCACGGAACCTAAATCCAGGGATTCCTGTCGGTTGCCTTCAGCCTAGGAGTATCAAACGGATAATACTACACCTCATGATATGAAAAGAAAAATCCTATGAACTGTCAGCAGTGTTAATATTTAAAATATTTTAAGTGCCGAATGATTGTCAATCGTCATTATGTGTACACATTATTTCGATTTTACGACTGATGAAAGTTATATGGAATATTGAAGAAAACTTTTAACAAGTGGGAATAGATGAAATACTTTGGATGACATTTTTTGACAATCGGATCGGAAATTTATTTCTTTCTTTCAATGCATATAAATTTCAGGTTTACATAAGCTTTTAGATATTGCTTGTACATGCCTAGTTATTTCTAAAAATCATTCCAACGGTAAGTATTTCTTTCGGTTTCAAGCTAATGGTTTGCTGCTTTTGCATTCGGTAGAATTATTTCACTTTAATGAGACACACTGATACGATGATCACTTATTACTTAACCATACATCATCAAAACAAAATAATTCATAACCATTCTCAACATCCGCTTATCTTAGTACCATAACATCCTTAGTGGGAGTTAAGCGCTAAATTGTAAATAAACGGATTTCAATCTCAGTAACTGTATTATTCTTTGTCAAACTTCCAAAGAAAGGAGACCCAAGTCTGTGCAAGAACTGGCGTGAAATCATGCTGCAGTCCACCTCAAGCAAAATAGTAAGCCATATCATTCTGGAGAGACGAAAAGGTGTTCCGGATTCAAAATTACGACGGCAACAGGCTGGCTGGCTGCCTGCATCATCATCATCATCATTATCAACATAGGACCAGGCATTACTGCGTAACGGTCCGAGTTGCCACACCTCATATCAGCACATCAAGTAAAAAGGTAGTGAGGTGAAGGATGAAGATAAGTGAATGCAGTCAAAGAAATATAAAGTATGAGAAGAAAGGAAAGAGGAGTGACAAAATAGTGAGATTCGGTATAGCGTTGTTAAGATGAGGATAATGTGTGTATACATCTGCGCCACTGACTTCGGTTCTGAGCCATATCACCTAGGGTCTCCAACCACTGGTTCCTCTTGTCCCGTGGACCCCAACCACCTAGTCTGCATCGTCCTACATGGCTTAAACCAACAGTCAGAGACTTCATACATTGGTGCCATGTTTTAGTCTGGCCACCTCGGGCCTTTTTCCAGCCTGAACCCACCTCAGCCAACATTGTGTGACGAGGCAATCGGTGACTAGGCATACGTAGTACGTGTCCCAACCATCTCAGTCGATGAAGGTTCACAACCTCGTCGACTGACTTACCTCTTCTCCCTAAAACTCTACACCTAACTTCTGCATTACTCACATGGTGACACCACGGAATACGTCCTATACTACGAAGGCAACGGTGGTCAAATACCTGTAACCTTCTCATGTCTTCCACTTTCAATGGCCATGTTTCACAGCCATACAGTAGAACAGAGCGGACTGCTGTGCAGTACACGCGACCCTTAATAGACAAACGAATATCACGGCGGCGCCATAGGTGGCGCAAATTGGCAAAAGCCAATCGAGCCTTTTGTATCCGTGCAGAAATCTCATCGGCAACTAACCCACCGGGGTTGATCCTACTTCCCAGGTAAGTGAAGTGGTCAACACACTCAACCACTTCACTCTCTATTGTTAACCGCGGTACCGCTGAAGACCAGTCCTGGAGCAAAAATTTGCATTTGGGTGGTGAAAATCGCATCCCAAACATTCTCAAATTCCCACTCAAAGTGTTCAGAAGACTCTGCATCTTGTCAGCGTCTTCACCTAACAGGACTATGTCATCTGCATATTCTAGATCTAAGGAAAATTCACCTGTGATCCGGTCAACGTCTTTGTAATTAGGTGACGAGAGGGAAACCTCCATAAGAATATCTATGATAAAATTAAATAAGAATGGGGATAGTGGGCATCCTTGACGGACACCACTTGATGAGTATAGCTCCCTGCCTGCCTAGCTTCCGGAAAAACATATCATGTAACGAACAAGTTCCAACGCTACACTACGCATCATCATCACAACAGAGCATAGAATACCAAGCAAATCTCTACCTCAAATTCATCAGTTTTGAAAAGGCCTTCCATCGAGGCGTCAACCAAGAGGTAGTTTGACAGGCAGCTGCTTAAACACTACAGCTTTTGTGCACGAACACTTATCAACCTCAATCAACAGTCGAAATGGAAAACGTCTAGTTGCGTGTCCGAGTTGAGGGTGATATGGAGAAGATGGTGTGAGGAAGAGATGAATGGTTGTGGGTAGTCGTGCAGTCAGGTTTTGAAGACTGTGGAGAAGGGAATGAAATGGCGATGTGATACTGAAGCCCTATGTTTCACTAGGTACTTAAGGCATAAATAATAATAAACTTTATTCATGACTACCTGGCTGGATCCCCGAGGCGATGGAAATCAGTGGTTGTGGACTCTTGATGACATGACTAAAAACCGGTCATAATGGCGCTAATTTTTATCTTCAAATTGCTTATTCTATCACAGAGCTTTGTCTACAATGATATCAGTTATTTTTATCAAGTTATTCTTTCTATACTCCTGTGGCAACTTGAATCGATGCACTTGTGTACTAGATTCTACCTTAACTTTGTCTATTTTTGTCTATCTTCACTGAATTAGGGTGACTGTTTGTGCTATATACTTCCCCAAGTTTTCAACACACGATGGAAGTGTTTTACAGCAGAAATTACTATTTCATGCAGATCACTATTATTCTTAATTAGCGGGTAAAACATTATACTTTTGTTAACAGTAGCAAATATTCCAACAGAAAAAAAGATTACAAAAATGAAAATGTCTTTATTTTAAGAGGATATGTGCAGAAATGGTAAGGATATATATATATATATATATATATATATATATATATATATATATATATATATATATATATATAGGTGTATATGTACATTTATTACGTCTTCGACAAAATAACCACAGTCACTCGTATCGATAATAATTTTCTCCGAAAATGTTATGAGATTGTACTTTACACTCAAGTAAATTAGTTATTTAGTCAATAAACAAATATAAATACTGAGTATCAATAGAACTGTTAAAACATGAATTCTGTCTAAGTTAGTTCTCCTTTTAAAATTATCTTCTTCTGTTTTTGCTTACTTTTCCTTCGATGGTGGATGAATATTTTTCGTATAATAATAGAATTCTTTCTACTAATTAGTCTTCTTTTTCTCCAATTGTTACAGCAAGAATGTAAAAGATTTTTTTTAAGAATTTTGATCAATGTCAAGTCGAGATAAGAAACGATTCCTGTCTAATAATTCCGATTCAGAAACGAAAGTGAGCTTGTCAATTTGATGATTTGATCCATAATTCTGATGTTGTTGTTCCATCAATGGAAAAATTTTATTCGAATGTAAATTTTGTTGAATTTCACTATTAGATGATGGTGGTGATATGTATGGTGTATTCCATAAGATTTTTCCATTTGAACTTTGTGTTGAAGAGGTTAAGACTGGTTTTGGATTACTTTCTGACGAATGAATGAAATGTGACTGCTGTCCTCGACGTTGTTGTTGTCTATACAATGGTGGCATATAGTATACATCCTGATTATCATGATTATTACTGTTGCCTAAAGAAGTTATAAGTGGATTAGAATGATGGTCGTTTACTGGAGGAAAATACTTTACACTTACATCGGAAGGATTCAGTGATATGTTATTATGTACACTACTATTTGGTTCATAGTATAACGGATAATGATTATGTCTTTCGTGTTGCTGGTATCCATTATAATCGCTATGTGGAGCATTTGGAAATGATAATGATGATGTTGATGGTTGACAAACTTGTCGATTTACTTGTGGATAATCTGAAGTTACAGGTATGCGTGTATTATCATTACATGCATGAATATCTGTTTGTAACCAATTTGGAATATTCTGATAAATGTTTAATTGATTTGATTGAAGTGAAAAATGCTTCTGTAAGTGATAAGTTAATTCAGCTTGATAATTATGATAATTAAACATTTGCTTCTCATAATTAGAATGATGGCTTGATTCTGAATTCCTAGAGTTTGAATGTGTGGGGGAAAATGATAGTTTTTTCCTACGTATACTTTCATTATTATCGTTCAATTCATGATGATTGAATGGTTTAACATGCTGGTGATGAGGTGAAGAATAAGCTGGGAAAGAATTTTAAAATAAGTTACAAATAGTGAGTCAGTTATTTGAGAAATCTGAATAAATTATAATGAAGACTTGGTAAATGGGAGCAATATTTCATCAAGTACTACGTGATGCAGTCTTATAATATCTTCAGAATACCTTTAGAATAAAACTTGATTATTGCGGTGGATTGCAATCCTGTTTGAGTCTGTTTATCGAACGTATCACACAAACAGAACTAGAACTACATAAACCATATTAACAAGTTGCCTTAAATGACTATAAACAATAAACTGTGGCCAAAACGCTGTGTAATCCATGTGATAAGCAGACTAAAATAAAATGAATCATATTGTTGGTTATACCTTTCTCTAACTGACTGATGCTACTACTACTACACAGGAATGATTAAGTAAATGTTGAATAGTGACAAGCAGCTTCCTGATAGGCAGTACACAGACTTGTATATAAAATGAGCTATGGCATCTACATGCTTATTGAGTCCGAGTTTAACTTTAGTTGCTAGCACTTATGTCCAAAATGTGTAAACAATATAAAAGCTTTTTTTTAATCACTAATTTAACTATTCATTTTTACTACCTTGGTCACTAGTTCAAAGAATTATCCATTTCGCCGAAAGTTTCACACTTCCCGTATTGATGAATTTTAACTATCTCAATACTTTCTATTCATTACCCATAGGAATCTGACCTTAAAAGTAGTATAGTTGAATAACAAGCAACTCAGCTCAGAATTCAGATCGTAAGCTAAGACGGTAGAATTATGTCAGCAGTAAATAGCATATCAGCGCACACTCTAAGTTGACCAAAAAGTATAGAATTATGTTGAGTAACTAGTAGATAGTCTTTAAGATGTAGGGTGTGGTTGTTTTATTTCCAACTGATATCTTTTTAAGTGGTTATTCATCGTAGATTGACATCAGTTGGAGAAACGAAGGAGACCTGGGAGCACTGACCACCTGTTTCATCCTAGTATGGAACTCCCCGGCCGTGCGCACCCATGACCCCGCCAGGGATCGAACCCGCCACCTTCAGGTTCCGTGTCCAGCACGTTACCGTTGAGCCACTGGGTCAGAATCCAATGCTCCATATTTCCAACTTCTGTTAGCTGATGATACAGAGCAGCCTCTACCCAATGTCATCGTTGAGCTGTCCAATGCTCCAGGTTTCTGTTGTTCCTCCAACTGATGTCAGTCTATAAGTGTAAAACTTGGGCACTGTGGTCGAGTGTGATTCCATTTTAGTCTGTTTATTAGAGATATCACACAGCGAAACAGTAGCATTTACTGGATAACGTTTTGGACATAATTTATTGTCCATATTCATATCAGGTCAGTCAACGATGAATAACAACTTGGAATATTTCCAAATCCCCACAACTCCCTCAAAATTGAATACCTTTTTAAAAGCGAAATGTCTCATATCTTACCTGAATCGTCTGAAGTTTTACTCCGCAATGTGTGTGTCTTTTCATGTAAAAACCTTGAAAGTGATCCAGGTATTGATAGTGAACGTGAATCAGTTGAGTTTGAGTGTAACAGGCTAGGAGGGTAAACTGAATTTCTATCCATTGGACATGATTCTGTTTTTGAACAAGGTGTTCGATACAACGTATTTGTTAATGCGGATGCTACTTGTGCTGAAGACGCAGAGGATACAGTTACAGAAGCTGCTGCAGCAGCTGCGGCGGCCGCCGCTGCTGCAGCGACAGCAACCGTTAGACTGTAATCCTTTCGTTTTTCGACTTCCTTTTTCTTGTCTGTATTGCATCCTTCCGCATAGATGTTGGGCGCGTTCGCTATGCAAAAAAAAAGAAATAGGTAAAGAGTTACAAGCGTAAATAAACTAAATCAAAATGACAAAGCATCTGGGAGCTTCTATCAGTATGTCACTGTTACCACATTAAATGAAATGTACAAAAGTAGATCATTATTATTCTCAGGACATAAGGGATGATCTCGTCTATTCATGATACATTGCATGAATAGCAGTAAATAGTCGTTTAACTGCTTTTTCAAAAAAAGTCCGTTTTTACAAAGATCAAAGCAGGTATATTTAACATTTTCTAGAGTACAAACTAAAATACTGTCACTACAAACAGTATCACTAGAATAAAAGTATTCCAAACAAAAGAAAACGTATTTATCTGCACTTTTGTTTTCTGTTGATTGTTCAACTGAAATGAATTGGTCAATTTCTTGCTATTTTGTCTATCTGAGATAGTCACAGTTTAACAGACTTATATTCATAGTGGGTGATGACTGGAAGTGAAGTGAAAATTTAGGCCACGGAAGGATTCTAACCAGAAACCATTGAGTTTCCAACCCGGTGCTCAAGCTACAGTAACATGTCACATATTCACATGGTAGTTGAAAAAAACTTTAGGGGTTGAAATGAAATAAAAACCTAATCAGTAGTCGGGTCTTATGGCTCAACTATTCAGTTTCTATCAGCAAATAGGCTTCTTGAGAAAATGTTTCTGATAGGAAGCCGCCTAAATCGAAATCCACATTATAAGTAATCAGATGCTAAAGTAGAAGGCTGGAATTTCATCTTTATTTCATGTTACTGTGTGGACAGGGAAAACCTTACTGGACAGTTTTATCCTTCAGCTGACCAATGCAAATAAGTATCCAACTTTCGACCTTGTGGCTTCATTTTCTGAAGAAAAACTGTATATAAAAGATGTGTTTTTTGTCAAACAAAGTTGTCTTTCTTGCAGTCACAGGCAGCTCTTTGTCTTCTGATTTCCATGCCTCAGGGAATTAACATGCTCGAGGAAGAAAAGTCGTTACTCATATCCAGTTCAAGTACCTCATTGGGTTAGTTTCCTTCATGTATCTCGTTTCATTTTTTCTGTCGGTTACTTCCACTGGGTCACTTCAGTTTCCATACTTCATTTAGTCTTATTCTGTTTTTTGCCTAACAAAAGATTAGAATGCTGTTCAGGTGAATTCCTATTCGGTGCTCATTTTTCAACGTACATGTATTAGCAGTTGGATTCCTACAGAAATTCAAACTCAGCATTGACCACCTCAAACGTAAAAACTGTTAGTCCACTGTACCGCAACATTCAACTTTCGCGCCAAATTTGTCACTAAATATATTCAGCTAAGAACCTTGCCCAGGCAACAAGTTCACTGGTTACCAGTCGGTCCTAAACGCAGATAAACAGGGAAGGTTGGGCATAGAGATAGCAACCCAAACCTGCTAAACAAACTCCAAAGAACAGAAAAAATATAAAACAATGGAAACAAACTTATTCCTCACTGGAATCGGGGAGACGAAATGACGCCAGATGGTGAAGGGCTTCGCGAAGCCAAGTAGCCGATGTATCTTCCCTCTCTCTCCCTCTCTCTCTCTCTCTCTGTCGATGAAAGCGAGAGTAAGAATAGGCACATGGAATGTCCGCACCATGTATCAACCAAGCAAGGCTATCCAGATTGCAAAAGAGATGACAAGGTGTAGGATAGAAGTGCGAAAGCAGGTGGAATGGAAGTAGACTCTCCAAACTGTCAACTGGACACGAGGTCAATAATCTACTCCGATATTGTCACCCAGACAACAACCACCAGCACACTGAGTTTCCGAGTGCCCATCATGATGTCCCCTTGAAGAGCATCGAAGGCTCTCTCTCTCTCTCTCATGCAGTGGGAACCAATCTCCTCCTACAGGATCAGGATCAGGATCGTGACAGCAAGATTCAGAAATCGAAAGGAAGGAAAGTAACAATCATACAATGCTACTCTAGACACCTACAAATAATGTGGATCAAGAGGAGAAGGAGGAGTTCTACAGACAACTACAATCAGTAATGGACAAGATCCCAGTCCAGTTGGTGATGGTGACATGCAAATTCGAATGGGTGAGATGACATGAATGCCAAACTGCGAGGAGCGGACAACACACGAAGAGAACCAACTATGAGTGGAGACGGACTCAGTGAAATGATGAATGAGAATGGAGAAGTGTTTGCAGACTTCTGCACATTTGTTGACTTGTTGATTGGAGGCCAGGCAGTGTGTACAAACCCAAGGAAGGATATTCACAAAGCAGTGACATGGATTTGATTTCACCAGACACCAGACACACTACACTCAAATCAGATTGACTTCATGTGGAAGTGAAGAAAGTGGATACTCAGTCAGCCTACTGGATAGATCAGATGAAGAAGGGGAGCAGATGTATGTGGTTCACACCACTCACTATCTAGTGCAAGGAACCTGCCTTCAAAATCAGGTTGGGAGCCTTGACTTCAAGGAAGCTGGTGATAGGCGACAGTTGAAGTTGAACACCCATGCAGAACAGGAAGTGGAGTGAAGGAGGAAACTGCGAGAGACAACTTCACGTCAGCCAGCCATCAGGACGAAATGGGAGACACTGAGCGAAATTCCTGAATGAGCCTGTATGGAAGAGCACTGGAAATGTGTGAAGGTGAAGTGGAAGGAAGCCTGTATGCTCGTATCAGAGAAGGAGGAAGAAGCAGGGCAAAGAATAGATCTCACGGAATCATGCTGCTGTCCACCTCAAGCAAAATAGTAAGCCATATCATTCTGGAGAGACGAAAGGGTGTTCCGGATTCAAAATTACGACGGCAACAGGCTGGCTGGCTGCCTGCTTAGCTTCCGGAAAAACATATCATGTAACGATCAAGTTCCAACGATACACTACGCATCATCATCACAACAGAGCATAGAATACCAAGCAAATCTCTACCTCAAATTCATCAGTTTTGAAAAGGCCTTCCATCGAGGCGTCCACCAAGAGGTGAGTTGACAGGCAGCAGCTTAAACACTACAGCCTTTGTGCATGAACACTTATCAACCTCGTTCAACAACTATATGCTATGCTATATGATGTTTCGTGCCGAGGGATTCACAATGGGTAGCTCAGTGATGATGCTTTTGAAGTGAGTTGATGGCAGGAAGGACTAAGATGAAGTTGTCGCCTAGTATCACTAATGATCTTCCTGATTATGGTCGACTGAGCTGGACTGGACTGGACTGGATCATGCAAGAAACAACTGTGAAGAGTTGTGAGAAGATGGGCATACACTGACTGGACCGATGAGAAGATCCCAGAAGAAGATTAGAATTTCACCAACAATCATGATTGATGTCTAATATCTTGTGGCACAAACTCGAAGATCTACAGGGAAGGACCAACAAGTTGACAGAAGAGGCAGCGAAGAAGGGACTTCAAGTGAATGTAGAGAAGACGGATTTGATGAAGATACCCAACGGACTACAACAGCAATACCAACAAGCACCAATCACCATCAACGGGAGAAGACTGAAGGGAGTCGTCTCTTTCACCTACCTGACTAAACAGCATCGTTTCAACTACAGGCGGTGGTGTTGGTGGCGGCACAGCTGAGGACGTCAATGCCAGGATCGGTAAAGCAAGACAAACTATCGTTAGTCTGAAATCAGTGTGGAGATCTACTCCACTCCACTCCACTCCACTCATCGTAAAGTGTGAACAACTTCCAGATTTCCAACACTAATCCCAGTGAGTCCCAGTGAGTCAGTACTTCTATGTGATGGTTGACAGAGTTGGCGCATCACGAAAACCATTTCCAACAAACTGCAGACATACATCATGAACAGCTGCCGCCTACATTCGCTTAGTCCATACTGAAGATCAGATCAGATCAGATCAGGAGGCCAGAAAGAACAAGCAACAGGGAACTCTGTCTGGCTGTCTGGTTGGCTGACTGGCTGACTGGCAACGAACCAACAAAGCAAGAACTCATCGTCCAACGAATATGCAGAAGAAAGTGGAAATGGAATGGATTGGGCATACACTGAGAAGACTGTTTGGGGACATGACGCGTGAGTTCAGGTGACGTCAGGTCAGGCTCTCGAGTGGAACCGAAATGGGAAACGATGAGTTGTGTGTCGGAGTTGAGGGTGATATGCAGAAGATGGTGTGAGGAAGAGATGAATGGTTGTGGGTAGTCATGGGGCCATGTTTTGAAGACTGGAGTGAAGACAGTGAAATGTTGTAAGTTCCACTAGGAACCCATGGCACAAATAATAATAAATTTTCAGTTAAGGATTTCTCGGTCAAACAAATTTAATTTTCTGATCTTTACTTTTAAAGTGATGTTTTGATTGATCTTTCAGCTTGTGCAGGTGATAAGCTGACAGATCTGTTTATCTAAATTAACCAAAGGTTGCAGATTTCAAAAAGCTTAAAAATTTACAACTTGACAACAGAGAGAAATTCGCACAAACATATACAGTCATGAGAAGGCCTAAGTAAAACCGCTTTACAATCACAGTTTGAAATTTATCTTGGTATATAAACAAAACAATAAAAGGTGAGTAAAAGAAGATAACAAGATAACAGACAGAAATGAACCACGTTACCATGCCACTTTTACACTTCTCCCACAATCAACTTGCTATTGCGTAATTATGTTTACCTGTAGTCACATCATAGAAAATAAAGCATTCCTCATTTCAGTTTTGCAGTTTAACAACCATTTTGTTGTCATAGTGAAGAACAGGTTGTTGAAATAACCTTACAGTGCACAATTCAATTAGGAAAAACTACGTGTGCATTGGACAACTTGTATGTATGTATTAGCACATAGAAATGTACATACGCTTAGGTTGGGTTATTTTGATGGCCATACAAGTGTCATTTACCTCATATTCGTATTTATGAAAATAATGTATAGCTGTTGTATTATGCATACCTACTCCATAGCATAAATGATGAAATGATGTTGAGTACAAGTTTGAATCCTATCATTTTCTTGACAAAATACAAGGAACCTGGAAACATTAGACAGTTGTTTTCTCCTAACGTGGGACTCCTCAGCTGTAAACATCAACGACCCAATCCACCAAGGTTCGAACTCAGAGACTTTAGGTTTTACGGCGAACGTATTAACCATTCTGCTAATGGGTCGGAGTCCAATGGCCTTTCTTTCCTTACTTCTAATAATTCGCGATTTAGCCTAACTATCTATCAAGGTTTTAATCTCGCGTCCGCCCCATTTAGTGCTTGCAGACTGCTTGTTCATTTAATGTTTTGAAGTGGATATACCAAAGTTCTAATAAAGAATTGTGACCAGTGGGAGCAACCAGTGGCTAAATAGCTGATGCGTTCACCTTGAAACTTGCAGGTCGTGAGTTAGATCCTTGATGGGCTTGTAAGAATGTTTTGCTGAGAAGTCTCATACTAGGATGAAGCAGCTGTAAAGGGCTCCCAGATTTTCAGTAGTTCCTCAACTAATTTCAGCCCTGATGAGTATTACCTTAACACTAAAATGCCTATAAATATCCAGTTACAAAATGTAGAAAGCGCAAAAGTGACCAGAAGTTAAGTTGTATAATGTAACTGGTATTAGGGAATTCATTGACTATAAGAAGAGGATTACAGCGTAAGCTTACAATGTAAATTATGCTACCTAAAACTACAACGAAGAAATATACGCCACACTAGTTATTCAGCTTGACTGTTTGCCAAATTTTAAATTTTGTGTTTGTGGTTGTCTGGTGTATTTCTATTGTAATCACCATTATTGTTAGTGCTTTATGAATATTTCTGAATGAATTTACTCTTTGTATTTGACTGTGTTGCTCTCAGTTGAATAGACTTAATGATCTCCGTTTAATGTGTCATATAGTTTATCTTTAAGGTAGTATTCATCATAGACTGATATCATTTGGAGAAACATTGAAAACCTGGGAAGTCTCAACAGTTGTTTCGTATTAGTATGAGAATCCTCAGCAGCATGCACCAACGATCCTCTCATCACAGGTCGAAATCAGGAGCTTCAGGTTTTACCGTGAACACGCTAACCATTCAGCTAATAAGTCGGAGTTCAGTTGTCTACAGTTTCTGATATCTATCAACTCGCAATATAGCGTGACTGTCATTCAAGGTCTTCAGTTGAGGTCTATCTCTAGGCGGTTCGTTGACATCTACTTCTCAGGCTTTCAATACTAGAACGAAACAGCTGTATAGTGCTCCCAGGCTTTCAATGGTTCTCCAACTATTATCAGTCTTCGGTGAATATTACCGTAGAAATACAATCCTTATTAACTTCGAAATACACATAGTTCATACGTTTACTGATTATAACAAAAGGTAAGTCGATAAGAATTTCGATATAAAAAGATACTTTGTAGTTTCACCTTGAATTCACACTTCTGCCTCTCCAAACAAATATAACTCTAAAGTATTTTCGGTGGAAACATTCTCTTGAAATACTTTTATATTGTTAAAAGTAAAAGAATAACAATTGATAAACTTTGTTATGAAATGCTTACGCCATGCAATTTCTGATATAATCCACATGCATTGCATACTGGATTTCCGTCAGTATTACGTCTCCATAAGGTAGTTTGAGTAGTTTCACAATTGGAACACACTAGTCCATTTCTCCGACTCGGTTGCTAAAAATGGCATAAATAATGACATAATAATAATAATAAATTAAACCTGCATTAGAAAATAGAATGAAAAAGTTTAGAAGATAACTGTCAAGTCGTAAATGACATTGGAAATCTATCAACCAAGCGTTGACTGTAACCATCAAGCTAGGTGACTGCATGATGAATTTTGTTTGAATTTCTATGATTGGGATTAGGCGATTAAAATTGAGGGATATTCTTTCGGTTTGTACGGTCAAAAATCTCACCTCGAAGGAAGAAATACCTCTTAAGTTATCAGGTTAACATTGCAACGGTACTTTCACTATTGTAATGTAGGATGGGATTGACCTGATTCATAACAGCTACCCAATATTCGATAGAGTCAGCTTAGCTTTTATAAATCCTTGTTCACAGATAAACAATAAGAGATGGGAAATTTGCTGCTTAATCACAAAGCTAGTGATTCTCTCCATTTATTCAAAAGCGCACTGTACTGATGATGAATACCAAGCTAAAATCGAATGCTTATAGGTGACTAGGTTCGAGAGATGATTCCCGAAGTTCTAATGAGAAGTCATGGCTGGTGCAGTAAAAAAAAGTCAAACATGAAGACAGTTACTCAGTGACAGTATTAAATAGAGGTCTCGCTAAATCGTGGACCATTGGATTCCCACTCAATAGTTCAACAGTAACGGGCTGGCCATGGAACCTGAAGGTTCTGGATTCAACCTCTGGACGAGTCATCGGCGTACACTGCTGGAGTCTCATACAAGAATGAAACATCTGAACAGTGCTCCTAAGTTTCCAGTGCTTCTCCTACTGATGTCAGTTCGTGATTAATATCACGAAAGCTACCGTTGATCTCTACAATTTACATGATAATCATTCCACAACTTCTTTCATTATAAATCGTGATTCTTTTGTACTGAATTGAAAGATAGTTTAGTGGGAGAGAAATGGTTCCTTTATTGAATAAAATTTCAATTGATAAAAAACTATTCAGAATACGTATCCATTCTTATACATAAAATGGACATAAATGGACATAAAAAAACGATCATAGTGTATCACGTGTATATAACACAAATACACAGAAATTTTATATGCACATCTAAAATTTAGTCATAAATTGTAAAAAAAAGAAAAGAAAAGAGAAAGAATGATCATGAAACAGAGAGAGAGGGGAAAGGTGAATTAGTCAATTTCAAAACAATATCTTTCTTTGCAGACAGCGGTAGGCGACAATGAGTCAATTGAAAATGAAAATAATTTTGTTATAAACACCAGAGACGACTATGAATACACAAATTATTGTGTTACTTCTTTTTACTGCCAAATATTTACACTTATGATCAGAATTTATACAATACTGGGAAATAGAATCATAAAACAGTAATTCATATACTTTTCAGTAATTTGTAATGCATAAAGATGCAGAAAAGTTGCCATACAAATGTGAATAAACACAAAGGATGCATCATTTATCAAGCTAATTTGGTAGGAAAAGTTTTGGAGTTGAAACATCAACCAAAGTGAAGAATATTTTGGAAGGGAAGAATAAATTTTTCCTAATGGTAATATTTAAAAAATTCACAAATGATTAGACCGCACAAATGCATATACATAGATGAACATACAGAAATGTTTACTGATTAACTGTGTTCAGTTATGTTTAGGAAATTATACTAAGGGCCTGTATTTATCTTAGAATACACACACACACACACACAAATGCATGAAGTAGTTTTCTACACCTTTCATGATATCTTCACCACTTCACAGCTTACCTGTCCTCAGTAAAAAAAAACACAGACAAAGTGGATGAATAAAAAGTATAAACTAATTGTTTATTTTATTGAGAACTTTAAAACTAAATAATATATTCTGTCGAAAACCATAATCTTCATCATAACAATAACAAATGCAAAAGACAGTTGGGCTTCTGTTATAGTATGTAGACACTTTGAACAGTATATTATTTTGTATTTGTACTACCTACTTTGAATATTCCTCTTTGTCAGATTGTTTTAATCATAATTGGTAGAATGAAAGTTTAATGCTAATTTTGTCTGCAAAGGCATTCTTCTCCTAGCTAAAATATCATACGGAAGAAGTTTACAATCCAAAAAGTGTAGACCTTCCCCACAATATATATATATATCCTGGTTCTGTTAGATAACCGGTTACTAGAGTGAGTTTCTGACTTCAACGCCTCATGATATTGATTCGCTTCGCTTTAGAAAAATGGATTTTCTCAAAACTATATATGCGCCTTATTGAAGAGCTCCAGAAGATGTGAAACTTAGGCTAAGGACCTCCTACCTGCCAGCTGTTAACGTCTAGTAACATATTAACCTGAATCAAATCATTATTTGTTATATTATTCCTAATTCTTCTTATATGCTTCTAGATGAACCCACAAAGGTAGCTGTTGGCTAATAATACATTCATTTTTGTTTCTCGACATAGATTTTCTGCTTTAAAAGTGAGTCTTCGTATCCTCCTACTAAGATATATAACCAGACCTGCCTTAACTCATGCTGAATGATGTGACTTTAAGCCTAAGCATAGGTTAGAATGTGAAGGCTCTAAGTATACATTAGTCTCTAAATCTCCATCTTGCCTCTGTTTGATTTTGTAATCGAACGTAGCTAGTCTCCCCCTTCGTCACCTTCTAGTATATTTGTGAATTTGGTAGCATCAGCTAATGAGGGTCTTAGCTTCAGAATAATTGATAGGCCTCGATTGCAAGCAATTTCTAATGTGTCTTGATACTATGCCTAAACATTTCGATGGCTCATGGGTTGAAATGTTTCCGAAGTCGACTGTTCATATTACAAGATATTACTATTATTATTTATTATTTGTCCTTTGGGTTCCTAATGGGACATAGGGCTTCAGTAGCACGTTACCATTTTATTCTCTTCTCTCCAGTCTTTTGAACCTGGCTCCACGACTGCCTAGAAGTTTTCATTTCTTCCTCACACAATCTCCTTCATGTCACCCTGGGACATTACAAGATATCGTGACCTATAGATAGAGTTATCTTAGTAAATCTAAAATTAGGCTGAACTAACAAGCGTCACTCACGAAGCATTCAATTGATGTTTATTCACCTATTCCTTTTGAGTGATATAATAGTCTTGCATGAAGTGTTTGTTGATTAAGTCAAGTAGATGCTTTCCTACTCTATGTGAACTATAGTTCTGTTTGAAACTATCCTTTTGCGCGATTACAATCCATCTTCTTAAGGTTAAAATGCTTGTTCTGAAGTTCCTGGTATCTGAGTTCAGTCCCCATATGTTTTTAGCCACATGGTGTTACACCAAGTGTACAATACTGGTATTTTCGTCAGCTTTGCGTTCACAATGTAAACATAATGGATGGAATCTAAGCACTACTTTATTTGAAACAGCATTACAGTGAGTACCTCCATTGACTGGTTTACATATTTAATCCAGTCACATAGGTTAGTCGTAATTCCATTAGCTGAACGTTCGCACATCCGATTACAACGCTGAGTGATGTATATTTTGATTGTGAAGGAAGTTCAAGTCCTCCGAGTCTTTGCAGACGCCAAGATAACAAGTTTTAAAAATCCGGGTACCATAGAGAGTGCCCTCAGTCACATAACCGTCACCATTGAACTACAATCAACGTAGCAACTGAAGTGCAAATTTGTTTTAGCTGTAACAAAGTAATGAGGTAAATGGTGTATCTTTATATGTAACTTTCGATCGTACACATTATACTCCTTTTTTGAAAGTATTCATTTGATATACTTGTTCAGTTTTCCTCAGAGACTGAAAATATATTTCATGGTCTGCAGTAAAGACATACCTGACTTATATCAGTTAAGGAGCCACTGAAAACCTTGGAGAACAGAGCAACCCTTACGTCCTAGAGTGGGACAGTTACAACCTTACCAAGTATCATATTCAGGACCTTCAGTTTTCATGGCGCACGCATTAACCATTCAGCCAATGGGTCGAAGTTCCAATGGTCCCCAGCCCCCTACTTCTGTTAATTCACCGTACAGCTTAACTATGCACCAACGTCTTCAGCTGGCACCCGCTTCACATCCAACTTTTGTATTCATCATGAATAAAGTGCGGACAAATGACTTAAAAGGAACATGTCATTGACTGGTAAATTTCATAGTATTCTTCATTTCCTCAAAAACGTAACAGTTGTTCAAGATGGAACACCAAGTTATAGTTCAGAATGAATCATCAAATGACATTTCACACTTGATTCACTTATTGCTTTGTCTTTACATATCACCAATCTAGTTACTAGAGTAGTTTTCATGCACAATCCTTGAGTCCATACTGACCGATCAATCAACAACAAGAAACTGAGCTGCCTCTACTGATGTTTCATTACTTATCGCTAATAGCCTTATCAAAGTAGCGGTAAGCAGAGATTTACAGTGTTCAAGCCGAGATATAACAACTTGACCAAATCTCCTCGGTATAGATGACTTTAGGTTGTCAAGCAGCTGAAGAAGACGGTGAATATATGTAGTTTGTCAAATATGATAAATATATGATTTGCAGATTACTACTAAGTGACAACACTTGTTAGCCAAAACAACTTTGCAACTCACTGGGAATTCCAAATAAAAATATATTCACTAACATTTACCGATTGTGCAACATCTTTTAAAACAGTAAATCTCAGCTTGGTTTGTATTTCTATAAACTCATCTTTTTAAGTTTATTTCTCATACACTTGATAGTCTGTAGATTGCAGCTTAGTAACATTTCTAGCACCTGATGACTGACGTGTATTCAACACATTGATTATGAAGTATAAAATTCGAAACACTTCTAATAATAGATATTTCGAAATGGACTTCACTTACCGGTTTTCGACTTGGCAGGCTTTTTGCAATTCCATTTCGAAAAGCGCGCCTACATGACATCGGTGAATAAGAGAATGGCACACCAGACAAAAGCATTGTATCTTTAATAAAATCCTCTGATAATTCATAAGATTCTGCCTTATTTGCAAAAAGTCTATTATCTACTTCATGATGGTTGATTGGCTGGCTTGGTTTAGTATCGTGGTTATTTCTAGCCAGTAGTAAGTTTTCAGTAGTCTTTATTTCCTCCACTTTCGTTTCTGTAGGAGCAACACCAGTATTAGTAGTATAGTTGAGAGTTATTGATGAAGATAGCCAGTTGTTTGGAAAAGATCTGTTTGAATCGATTACGTCTTGACTTATCTCTTCATCTTCTTCCCCATCCTCTTCGTCATCAATATCTTCCATCTCATCATCATTTTCTTTCTCTTCATGCTCTTGAAACTGATGTTTACGTTGTAGTAGCTGTTGCTGTTGTTGACCACAAAGCTGACAGAAATAATGACCAGTACCATCTGGTTGGCCATTTGAATGGATCGGCCGACCACATTTCACGCATTCTTGCCTAGATTTTGAAACAAATTCGCTTGGTAATAATTCCTTTCTATCTAGTAAACCAAAAGAAAAACAGAAACACAATTTCTCGTTAGATTAACTAACTTTGTACACCTGGCTAGAAATTATCGTTTATTGTTAAATCAGGGCGGTTATCTAATCACATCTTGAGAAGACCACCTAGTATAGATGGTTAAAACTCTCATGACTGTAAGATGTACTATGGAACACTTCAAAAAATCAACCCATTGCCATCACTATCTAGGAATCATGTGCTTTATGTCATATGAATTATTTCTTCATAATAATCACAACACTGTTCTCGTTATATTAACAACCGACAGTGGCTATTAGTGGAATCCAAGACGCACTTTTTATCCTGCATGCGACTTGTCAGTTAGATGTGCCTACCTCCCAGTGAGTGATGTTGTTCCTACCAAGACTCTAACAGAGGACCAAGCAAGACCCCATATACCAATACGGACCGATCAGTTCGGTCCAATTAACGAAGGGATAATACAAATAAAAACAGAAATATTCTCCTTGGTTAAGCTTTTATTTACTATATATTTTTAAAGTGTGTAAGATTGCTGAAGCAAAATTGGTTATCGTACGAAAAGTCCAAGTGAGCATTGGGACCTTAAGATACATACACTCTTCCTAAAATGTGACATAATCAACTGTTGTCGGAAGAGATATAGAGTTGAGTGGCGAATGTTCCACAGTGGATCCTAGAGATGAACATAATACTTCATTCACTGTCATGTACTGTGTCTCAGAGATTCGTTGAAATGTAAGAGTGAGAAGTTAGATAGGATTTGTATATCATGGTTACTGATACTCGAGAACATATTAGACTAAACCGTTAAGCTATCGATTTCTAGATATTGCATTGTAACCATAAGTGTTTGAGATTGTTGGCGATGACTTCGTAAATATTAGCAAAATCACACCTTGATTTGAGCGCTTTTCACCTAGTACATTGTTACTTCTTTTGATAAAGCTTAATAGATAAGTTGTACTTATAATCCACAGATTTCTGTCAGTACTTAGAACTTCATCGCTTTAATATCTACGATCTAGCAGTAAATTTAGGTGGATCCTACATTAATTTAAAATCTGATAATAATGAACACCTCAAAAGATAGATTTTTTCACTTCCACTATATTATAGTTTGCTTTTGTAGACAGTAAAAATGTTCATTTCTTTACTCTCAGTCGAATAGATTACGTTCCTATTTGAGTGGACAGATGAGTAGGTGGTGATCTTGAAGATAATCATGATACTAATGACTGTTGATACATATATCAAAAAAACTGATTTGTAGTACGACATTACTTTATTAGTTTTTTCTGCAATGACGACAACAGCAATTTTTGTAATGATTTTTTTTCATCAAATGACAATTTCACTTTTTTTGAACTATTTACCACGCCTTGTTGAACTCCAAGAAATTCTAATAGGAATAATGAACTAATGAAGAAAATCAAAAGTCACTCTTCATTACATTCTTCAGATTACACAAGAGACTAATGAAATATTTACTCATTGTAAAGCATAATTTCATATATACATACGTTATCGTTTGTTTTTTCAAGGTTAATCATGTTCATATTTTCCAAGAAATACTGTTTAACTTTCACGACTCACCTGAATTTCTGAAGTAAATTCATTTTGTATATAGAACAGTATTTATGGTTTTATATTGATCTTGGTGATTAACAGAGGAATCCAGAATGTGCGTTTCGTCCTATTTGGGACTCGTCAGCTGGATGTGCAAGTATTTATGGTTGTGTGTTCTTTTTCACCATGTACCCTAAAACTTCCCTGATTCTTTATATCACACATTTTCTAGGAATGTTCAACGACAGACTAATCAGTATATCAATGCAGATTTCTTCATGAGTCGGCGTAATTTGTTGAAATGCTTAAAAGGTATGAACACTGAGTAGCTGGCTAGTCCTATCATGTGTCTTGTCAGCAGTAAGCACCCACGACTATTCCAGGGATCGAGCCAAAGACTGCTAAGTCCTATGATAAGTAGGTTAGCATTCAGCCACTTGACCGGAATCCAGTAATCCCAACTTCTATGCATCTATACTTTAACGATGTAGCGCAACTGTCATATAATGCTATTAGTGAGTATTTGGCCATACACCCAACTTGGTTGACTCCACAGTTCATGGCTTCTAATTGGATTTTCGGGAAATCCATCTCAAAGTATATCATCAATGAGATTTTGAAGTAAATTAATAGGTGGTTTACGAGGACTTAGTGCTTTTCAGGTTCAGGTTTTTCTGACTATTTTAACCACGAACAGAGTGAAGTCGCTCATTATCAAACCTGAGATCAGAGAAAATATCTGGGAGAAACAGCTAGTAATTGAAGGGGAGTTCGAGCTTTATCACTAGCTGGCTGCCATCGCTTAGCTAATACATCACTTGGCCAGTATTCCGGAAGCCGTTAGCGTGGTCCTAGTTCACCAAAGCATGACTTTCTCAGAGGGTTCCATTAGAAAAAATGATTTTATTTGAGCTAACAGGCAATCATTATGAATACACAAATACACTAGAGAGATATTAATATCCATTGGTTAGTCATTGGAAGGTAACCAACTTCATATTATCTAGTTCTATGTGCTGACTGAGTTTTTTCTATCATTCTATAATGTGGCCACCAGATTGGATAGTTCAGCATCACGATACACTTTCATAGATGTTAGCTGGATGGAAATTCTAATCCTTTATATCTTTATAACTGAAGTGGGCACCAGTCTTGGTTTGTAGGCTGTTAGCTAAACAATTAAATAAATTGGCAGCAATTCCACACTACATAGATGCATTTCAGAATGTTATTAGCAAAATCAAATGTAAGGTGCTGTTTTAACAACCGTTGTAAAGTGATCCTGTAAATTATTATGGAATTTAATTGCAATTAAAAATGAGTTATTTAAGTAAGTTTGTACCATGACTACCGATCCGCAGAGAGTCGTTTTCATCATTAATTATCATCCTATAAAGTCTACCAATCAAAACTATTTAGACTAGTCTGAGCAATTATGAAGTGCTGTTTGATTCCTTGAATAATGTCTATTCAACCTTTTTGTTTAACTGCTCTAAACCTAATTATATATATAGATATAGTGACTCATTACGACCTAAGACTTCTCATTAATTTCTCCTTATTAAATCAAAAGATAACAGTGACAAGACTTCTCATGTTTGTATAGATAAACATACTTATCTAAGTGTTATCAGATATCATGATAAACGCTTTAACTGTCACATACGTTCAGTTAAACAATAGGCAGATTTAGAAAAACCTGGAAGTATGATAGAGAGAGAGTGTGAGTGAGATTTCCAGCTCAATCCAACAAGCAAGCTAAAACAAAAACAATTCACTGATAACATGAAATAGTCATTACGTCATTGAAAATTGAAATCAATTGCTTCCACATCCATTTATAAGTCAGTTATTGGTTTGTAGATTGTATGTATTTTTACACGTAATTCATTCCATTACTTAACTATTACGTAATATTTTTTGAAGGTATCTATTTGAGCAAGTGCAACCTATACTTATTTATTTTACCTGTAACAAAATGATTAACTCACTGGATGTAAATGATAGTTTGACTGTTTCAATTTTTATATTTTACTTTTTTTTCGATATTTTTTCAAGATTATTTTGCTGTTACTTTTAAATAGAATCTCTATGAAAATGACTTCTAAGTATTGCGTTCACTGATATAATGCGTATATGACCTCTTCATAAATGATTATGTACACTGTATTGTGTCATATGCTAACCATAGATAATTATAAAGAAATCATTACAAACCTGAACCATTCATTGAATTCAGTTGTATTCCTTATGATACCTTTATCTTCGTAGTATTCAGAAGTGGGGGTAAACGAATCAAAGAACCTGTATACTTCACTACTTCAGGTGGTATATAACAGCAGTATAAACTTCTAAGGGATTCTAAGTAATGCTTATTGAAACATTCTACTTAGTAAATCTTTCTGAAAAGATATCATCTTTATTTTGGCCCTCAGATCATAGAAATTAATATACAACTGAAGTAATTGCTTTGATAATCAGGACCAATTTTAAGTTAATTCACTTCTCACTAAGTAAGTTTGACAACGAAAATAATTTCGTAGATAGTGACACTTCTTTATTTAAAACAATATGAAGGGAACATGAACTACGCAAAAGTTGGCATGACTATCTCAAAGAGAAAGCCTGTTTAACGAAGTAGAGGAATGGTACTTCACATAATGATAATTTTTTTAAGGATCTTATCCGATATTTTATTCACGAGTTATCAGTAACGTTTCATAACTGAAAGTTGTATGTAATTATCTGCCACTTCATTTTAGTGTCTTTCACCAGTATCTAGGTGTCATACGGTAATTTATGCAAGCCAAATGGTGAAAGAAATATTAGGAGGGATTACATTAAAATCATTCAGTCCGAGTGTGGGTGCATTCAGCTGATGAGTTCAAACTATGATGAAACGTGCATCCTGGATTCCATTGTTACCTGCTAAGTAGGCTAAAATTGATAACTTCAATCTATCTCCCGCTATTTTTCTATTGAAGTATTAATGTTTGCGTTTCTAAAACATCTCTTTGTAGATCGAGTGTATTGTATTAGTTGTTCAAGTAGTTATTAGTCCAAGTAGTTTAGCCACTGTTTAGCTACCATTTAGAAGATATTCTGTAGCTCGGGTCATGATTCTTATTTTGTTTAATCAGTCCTTTATAGGCGACAAAGTATAAACAGATATAAACGGTTATTACTTGTTCACTGTCTTCCATAATGAAATTTTATTACCCCCAGAAATGTTTACTAGTCCTTTGGAAGCTAACAGTTTTCGAGAATAAAAATGTCTCCTGCAAAGTAATACATAGTTATGATGAAGCACCTCAGCTATATTTTAAAATATTGAATTTCATCAAAGTAGAAGTACCTCCCAACATACTATTACGCAGCTAATACGTTCACTTCCTTAAGATGAGAGTTATTTTATGACTAGTAGATCAAAAGAAAATACACTGGAGCAATTTTAATGAGTCCATCTTAAACAACGAGGCTTTTAGTAGTTGGCTTATTATTATTATTAGTCCCTTGGGTTCCTAATGGAACAAAGAGCTTCACTAGCACGCCTCCAGTGCACTCTCTTCTCTGCAATCTTTTGAACCTGGCTCCACGACAGCCAACAACCTCTCATTTCCTCCTTGCACCATCTCCTCCATATCACCCTCACCACGGACGCCCAACTCGACGCTTTCCATCTGGGTTCCACTCAAGGGCCTGGCCTGTTGCGTGATGTCCCCAGTCGGCCTTCTCAGTGTATGCCCAATCCATCTCCACTTCCTCCTGCATATCTGTTGAGCAATAGCTTCTTGGTTGGTTCGTTCCCAGAGCTTCTTGTTGTTTATTCTTACTGGCAATCCATCTGATCTTCAGTAACGAGCCAGCGTAGGCAGTTGTTGATGAATATCTGTAGTTTATTGGAAATCCCTTTCGTGACGCGCCAAGTCTCTGAGCCAAACAGAAGCACTGAATTGACTGGCGTTGGTGTTGAAAATCCACATCTTGTTCCACATGCTGAGTGCAGAAGATCTCCACACTGATTTCAGGCTGATGAATGCATGTCTTGCTGTCTTTCCGATCCTGACTGGCTTTGACATCCTCGTCTGTGCCATCGCTACCTGTAGTTGAAACAGTGCTTCCTAGATAGGTGAAGGAGGTTACTTCCTTTAAGTTCCTCCCGTTGATGGTGATTAGAGCTTGTTGTTGGAGTTGTTGGTGTGGTATCTTCATCACCTCTGTCTTCTCTTTATTCACTTGAAGTCCCGTCTTCCTTGGCTGCCTCTTCTGACAACTTGTTATTTTTCTCCTGTAGATCTTCAAGTTTGTGTGACATCAGACACAAGTTATCGGCGAAATCCAGATCTCTTAGGTTCTTTTCCGCAGTCCAGTGTATCCCCCTCTTCTCGCTCCCCACTGTTTGCTGTATGATCCAGTCGACCACTATCAGGAATATCATGGGTGATAGTAGGCAGCAGCCTTGTCTTACTCCTGTCTCCACTTCACTTCAAAAGCATCACTGAGCTGAGCTTCCAATTGTGAATTACTTGGCATGTGGCATATTCATATAGTTGTTGAATGAGGCTGATAAAGGTTTACGGTATTCCGTAGTGTTGAAGCAGTTTCCAAATTACCTCTCGTCGACACTGTCGAAGGCCTTCTCAAAGTCGATAGATTTTGAGGTAGATAGTTGACTGCCACTCCATACTCTGTTCTATGATGATGCGAAGCGTTGCAATTCGGTCCGCACATGATTTGTACTTCCTGAATCTAGCCAGCCAGCCAGCCTGTCCCGGTCGTAGTTTTCAATCCAGTACATTCTTAAGCCTCTCCAGGATGATGCTGCATAATATTTTGCTTGCATTGGGTGGACAGGAGAGTGATTCCGCGCCACTTCTTGCAAACACTGAGGTCTCCTTTCTTCGGCAGTTTGACAAGGTGACCCCTCTTCCAATCACTAGCCAGGTACCTTCTCTTCCTTCCACACCTTCTGCAAGAGTGGTGTGAGCATGCCCGCTGTTGTCTCTGCGTCTGTTCTCAGTGCTTCTGGTGGGATCCCGTCTGGTCCTGCTGCTTTCCCGCACTTCAGTGTCTTTATGGCGTTCAGGACTTCCATTTTCGTTGGAGGATTTATGTTCACTTGTAGTTCAACGGCTGCAGGTGGTATTTCTGTACGAAGTGCGGGTGGTGGTCGATTCAAGAGCTTTTTGAAGTGGGCGGCCCATTGTTTCCTTTGTTCATCCTCTTTGGTAACTAGATTCCCTTCATCATCTTTTTTGGTTTCGTCTGCGTTGATCTCTTCCCAGATAGTAATCTGGTTATTTGATACAACGTTGTCACGTCTCTCTTCCCTGCAGCCTGTTCTGCTTCACTTGCCAGTATAGTTGGCTTATACACAACTATAAACTCCCATTTTGATATCATAAACTCAGCAACCAGAGAGAGTGTCAAGTACTTCCGACTGAAAGTCCTCTTATTCTACAGCACAGAGGTCAGTTACTCCAAGTGAATTTTATTTTTAAGATGTTGGGAAATATTTGTAGCTCAGAAGGATAATTTTGATGTTGTGTGTGTTGTCATTCTAGACAGTATCATCAGCACAAACTTCAGAAGCTTCACTATTCAACCGTTCAGCCCAGAGAACACAACATCATCAGAGTTTTATTCGATCGGTATTTTGAGTATCAGCGTTTTTAAAGGTTCCATATCGATCAACATCCATCGGTAATAAAAAGTGTGTCTGCTATGTTTGTACAAACCAATAATTTCACACAGTAAATATCTTTTAATCGGAAAATAACTGTCTCCATGACGCTGAATGGAAACAATCATAAGGAATTTAAGTCATTTTCTATAACTGAATTGATCCTTATGGTGATTTGGTTAGTTGTGGTTGGCAGAGGAATCCAAGACGCGCGTTACAACTAACCAAATTACCGTAATTATTATTCAGGGCAATATCGAGGGATCAGCATAGAAGCTCGTAGCCAATAGAGGTTGAACAATCCGCTTCAACAAAACAACTTAGAATTACAAGTATTTCAGTATACAGTAATGAATTGACCCTGTTCAAAACTAACAAATTTCTCGTCTAAGAAATCTAGTCATTAATACCTTGACTTTCTCACGATTTCAGAAATGTTGGTGTCAGTATTTGTAATTTCAAAATAGACCTATATTCATGATACGACCCATTTAATAATGCTTTAGTATATTCTCGATACATGTTTGCCTCATCATTTTTAGCTTATGTATGACCACTTATGTTGTGAGTAATTGTTTCTATCTTCTTACAAACTAGTTACTCCTTTCATCCTTAGGCACTTTGGAAGATAATTGGGAGCCAAATATATTCCTTATGATTATTCTTCGTGGTAATTTGGTTGTTTGTGCCTAGCGGAAGAATCCAGGATGCACGTTTCATCCTATTTTGGATTCGTCAGCTAGATGTAACTGCACCCCATTGATGTTGTTATCACTGACACTCGAACCTCGCACCCATCGCTTCTAACGACAAGGTGTTATCCATTGTGCTGCGGAGGAAAGATAGCCACTTATTGTACAACGGGCAGTAGTTATTACTATTATTGCTATTGTTCGAACTGTGTTGGCATATGGACTCCCATGTGGATGCCCCGATATTGCCTGAATGTTAATTATGACAATTTAGTTAGTCGAAGAATTCGATCCAATAAAGCAAAGGAGAATAACAATTATGTCAATAAATAGTAATGATTATTCTAAATGTTGGTTGCACTAATCGATGAACTTTCAAACAAACCTTCTGAATGCGTCCTCCTGGTGACAATTTACCTATCGGCTATTGTTTTCTGTAGCCTCACTGGATGGTACTCTCTTCATTTACTATAATAAAAGCTAATTACACCAGTTCATCGTATACTGATTTTATGGATCAGTTGTTCAGCATACATCCCTGCATTATGGTCTGACTTAAATAAAGGACTGATTGCACATAACAGTGAATCAGTATGCTCATTACCGGTATTTCTGGGCATCGGTTCACATCAGTACGTCTTGGATGAATATACCTACAGGTTTTTATGGTGTACAAATTCACTCAGACGAGACTGGCTTCACATATTTGATAGACAAAAGTACTATGTCGTCTAATGCATTCTTGTTCAATGTAGATAAACCCTAATCGTATAAATGAAATTGTTACAATGTAATCCAGGTATGAAAATGGGCCCTGAGAAAGAGTATCATTCCGTATGTGTTAGCTTTCAGGATAACTATACATTTACTCAAACTTTTATAACCAGAATGGTATGCAGCTAACCTATGACACAACCACAAGTGTGTACTCACCCTAATGGATTTTAATGAATACAGAACCGTATGACTGTATGCTGTATCAAAATCTCTAGCGTGATATGGAACAGTTTGACGTACCTGGTGGTGAGCTAAATTTTTTTAATTAGATTATACGAAGATAAATTGACAGCAGTTAAATATAGTTCATGAATAAGGGGACTCAAAAGGAATTGACGAGCTTACCAATTTTATCTATCGTTGCATAAGTCATAATTTCCTTTTCATAATCATTTCGGTCTACAGGTGAATTCAGGTGAACCGTTCTTCCTGATGTCATACAACTGCCATTATCATAACATCTTTGAACTTGATTTCTTGGTAAAGAGTAATTCGATTCAGGGGAGTTGGACATAGAATTTCCAGCGTCTTCAACAATATTATCATCACCATCATATTCTCCATTATTACATATCACTGGTGAATATAATATCTTATCAATAGCTTCAGGATTCGATAGAGATGAATTATTTTGAAATATTTCTTGGTGTTCTTTTTTACTGTGAGTTGAATCACCTATAAAATGAAAGGTTTCTGTCTTGTCTGTGCGATTCATCTTTCCAAATGCATTATTAACGTATCCATTGTAAGTTGAATACGATGGACAGGGAGGCCGGTAAATATCAGTTAGATAATTTGATACGGAAGTCATACAGTTCAGTTTATGCTCATCATTCGAAGAGCCATTGGGAAGAATATTACGAATCTTGTAATCATGGTTACTAGTAAAAAACTCATAATGGTTTGTCGTTTTATTGTTGCTGCGATTGGTTGCATTTATTGCATTCGACGTACAATGTATTAGGCTTTCTGGTATTTGGCAATAATTTCGATCGCCATAAGGATTCATTTGGTGAATAATTTGTCGATTATACTGATCTGAGTAATTTTGTAATTGTCCTATGGAACTAGATGTGACTGAATTAAGAAAAGAAGGTGGTGGAGTAGAAGATGATGAAGATGTAGGACTGTTTTCTGATTTTTTGATTAGTCTACTCATATCAGTAAAATACTCCGTAGATGTTGTACTAATTGTAAGTTGTTCATGAGATGGAATGGTGAGCATAGTTTCTGTTTGAATTTCTCTACCGTGAAATGATTGATACAATCTCTTCACGTGAATAAATTCAAAGTAGCCTTCAAGAAACAGGAAATATTTCGAGAAAAAAACATGAGACAGAAGCTGTTCAGTGTGGTATTGCAAAACAAATAAGACAAAACATGTCAATGCTGAATAATATTTACGCAAACATGGATGTTTAAAGATAAAATAATATGGCGCCTATAAACAGCTAAGAATGCGTATTATGTTTTATAGCAAGTTGAAACAGAACTATGCGTACTGAAACACAGAACAAATCCATCATTATAATCTAAGCGCAAACTGATGCAAGAAGTTATTCTTCCAATCCTTCGTTTTCTAACAACATCCAATACATATAGGAAGTACAAGTATCTCTTCTATAATATATGGTTGTTAGTAACGTAAATCTTGTAAAATCTTCACCTCAATTGTACATTTGTCGGCTAATTAGGTTAGAACAAACACACCCTCTGATTTATAGATAATGAGCAATCATTTATAATATTGATGATCGATAGTGGCTGGCAGTGGGATCTAGGACACACGTTTCTTCCAATTTGGGACTTATGAATTGGGTGCACGTGGTTCCCAGTGGATGATGTTTTTCTCACTGAGAATCGAACCCAGGGACAATCTCTTCTAACGCCTTCGTAGGATCGATGTCACCTACTAGGAGGCAGGTACATCCACTTGACAACTCCCAAATTCGGCGAAAAGCGCATCCTAGATTCAACTGCTAACCACTATCCAATAATAGTATCAAAGTCGTAAAATACAGGCAATATCCAGGCATGCATATAGGAGTCCATATGCTAACAGTGACAGATTATTATCGTCTGGTCAACGACAGAGATACACAAACATCAGATTATTATTTTTATCAGTGTTATTGCTTGTAAGCACTAAACCTATGCCCGTCGCACAAGAAGTGGCTATCGTGGCTCGGTGGTGTAGTGGATAACGCGCTGGCGTTTGAAGCGATCGCTCCCGAGTCCGAGTCCCAGTGGGAACAACATCACTCACTCGGAGGCAGGTACATCCAACTGACGAGTCCCAAATAGGACGAAATGCGCATCCTGGATTCCACTGCTAGCCACTACCCATCATCACTATTATTTCTATTTGTTTTAGTAGTTAACTTGATGTTCAAAGTGAGTTATCAACACCTCTTAGGGGAAATATATTTTGGCTTAAAAGTTCATTGAAACTGATAGGAAAATTTCTTTATTCTGGTCAGTCAGTAAAAGCTACGCACTATTGTTTTCCGCCCTAACCAGTGATGGGAACCAATCTCTGAAACTCTCAGTGAAAAAGTAAAACTGAAATTAAATGTTGCAAGACCTGTTATCTACGCTTATTACTTAACAAGATAACTCAACAACTAAGATAGATAAACTACATTGAAAGATATAAGTTTGGGCTATTCGAATAAGCGACAGATCCGTCGATGTCTTAAACATATCTTATGGATGAAGCTTAGTGAGCATGAAAGCTTGGTTGATAGCTTATCTGTCAACTAATCACAACCATCTGATTGCTATACCATCATTAGCAACTTATCCAAGACAGCATTTTACATTTTGGTACCCCACAAATGTACATTTTTATTTAAGAATAATATGCAAGGAATAGATCTATCATCTATGTATTAAACTAACGGTGAAATATGCCTAGATTATCAAATTTATTTTGTAAATAAAATATTGTACCAATCAAAAAAAGACGTTTATATCGCGATAAAACAATCAAACGTGACTGATATGTTGGACAGTGGATACAAACAATGATTGGGCATTGACTCTGAATGACATTTTGATTCGGTGTAAAGCGTGAATCTAAATAGCCTTTCTTTGCAGTCACTTTAATTTTACAAAAATAATCAAGTTGAAACTGATAACATTAGAAATGTTTATAACTTTTGAAAGTTGTTTGCAGCGATAGAAGTTACCATCCAATCGAAGGGTTACCGACAATAAGCCTAACTGTAGTTTCTTGTTAACAGATTTTTCATTATTATCACTATCAGACTCATCCCTATAAATCTCTACGGTAATATTTTGCTCTATATAACTGTCAGTTATTCACTTGTTCATGCCTCACCTCATAATAATAACTGCGCATTTAGCCCCAAGTAATAACAGACTAATCGTAAAATATACGCAGAAAAATAAAATAGTTGCATAAAACAACCGCTTCAAGCCATTCTGTTCAGTACTTCGATATGCGATATTATTCCCTGTGTACAGTGAAACTGTTGAATAATGTGCTTTGACAGTGGGCATGACTGAGGACCATTAACGGAAAGTTTTGGGTATAATATCTATGCATTTCTACTGAAAACCTTAGGAGACTGAAAAAACACTTAACAGGCTACTGATGGTCAGTAAAAGAAGCAATAAAGGTGCAGTTTAATGAAACTGATATTCTAGAATTTTTTTGGAAAAGATAGGTAGGATATAATATTATTTAAGGTGGCATTTACCACACAGTAACACTAGCTGAAGAACCATAAAAAACCTGGGTTGTAGGTGCGTACCACTGAACAGTCGCATACTGAGACGAAACGCTTGTCCAATGCTCCCAGGTTATATTGGTTCCCCAACTGATTTCAGTCCATGATGAATTGCATCTTAAATATAAGATCCTTATTAACCTTGAAGTATGCTAAAATATTATTAACTCAGTGTTCCTTTTAAGTCTTTTTAGGCATCTAGGTACATTTGTTTCTGGATACAGAATATTACACTGCTGAATGACTAATATGATAAATAGGTTAGCTTTAGTCTAATATTTGAAGTTACTCCTTGTATTCACATATTTAAAATGTATTTAACATCCGATCAGTTGATATAAACCAAATTTTGATCTTATGCAGCTAACGAGCAACTGTATGTCTTAGGTCCCTTCCAAATGTGGAAACTTGAATTCAGACGTACTGCAAATTAAAAGGTTCAAGTGGCATGTAAATGCATATGCCGTTAGACATACACCCTTACCCAAAATCTGTCGGTATGTATTTACTGAAACATAAAATAAATCCTATTGCAAATGTGAAATGAACAGAAAGAGTTAATTTTCTGCATAATTTCACAAACAAGATATTTTTATTCCATTATGCTTCAATTGTGTTCGATATCAGAAGATATACGGTTGAAATGCACTCCCAGCTACCTTAGCAACACAATTTTACCTAAATGCAAAGTTTTCTCCCATGAAACATGCACACAGTATTCATTCATTTCATTAAAAATGTTAGTCAGACTTCACTGCAAAATAAGCATTAATTGACAGATTCTCTTTGAATATATATATATTTGGCCTTGTTACAGTTCCATTGGAGATTAGTCCACAAACATCAATACACTCTTTTTCAAAAAGTCATTCAGTTCTTCTTATTCTGAATAACTTTTTGGAATCTGATACTTTTTATGTTATCTCTGCTTTTATTTCATAAGAAATAAGTTGTATTTTCCTCTGTCAGTACTTGGGCTCCTGTATGAATGACCCAATATTGCCTAAAGATCAACTATGATGTGATTTGAATGATGATGACTAGTACCGAAATCAAGGATGTATGTTTCTTTTTATTTCAAACTTCTCAGCCAAACGTATCCCATTGAGCTATGATGTTCATATCGGGACCATAAAACACAAACCATCGTTCCAAAACCAGCAACCCAGTGGAAAATGCTCTGGCCTTAAAAGAGATAGGTGTTGGTCTCGAATTCTCTGACATGTTCAGCTGGTGAGTTTCAAACAAGATGAAGCGCACGTCTACAGCTGGCCACCACCGATGAAATATTCTCCTATCTTATATCAGTAATCATACGTGTGTATCACTATGTACCAACTAGTCGCATATGGAATTAACATTTATAAGAGAGTTTAAACCTGGTCAATAATTATAAAAAGCCTTCATTATTAGTGGCAGAAAGAACCTTGAAGAGTTCAATTCCAAAAAATGACTTAGCAACCATCGAAATCCCCTTTCATAAAAATGCAGAAAGAAAGCAAACCATTATTTTACATGAGGATAAGAGATATATAGTACATTACTGTGTACTAAAACATGCTTCATTTCTCTTATTCAATAGACTTTACTCATAATGTTAAAAAGAACCATACTAACCGAACTCTAAAATTTTTTTCGTTTTTGGTTTCTTATTGTAAGTTGAAGGGTTTACCTTTATTGGGTATGATATGAGATTCATGATAACATCAAACCAGTTTCATATACCTTTTGAAACTATCCTCACTATGCATCCGTAGAATAGAGACAACACAATATGAATTATTTATATTATTAAGTACTTAAAAAATGCAAAGAAATTACTCGCTGCTGTATAGAAATCCCACAACGAAAATCCGTCGAAACACGTTTCTTGGACGTAATCAACAGAAGGCTCTACTTAGCCTACATCATGCAAATGTAGAAACTTATTAGCAATGCATATTTACAACCTTAAGGGATAGAGAAGTGATAATCCACATAAATCGAAATCCGCATTAACCAATATCATGGTTAGATTAATTAACACTGAATTTTGTGAACCAAAAATGAACTGTAGGACATTAATAGATACATGAGTCGATTAATGGGGGGTAGTGAGTGTCATTCTATTTAAGTCTTACGGTTCATCGCTCCGTATCAAACATTTATACACTTATGGTTATAGAGCTAGGAGAGTAACCGTCATTGTAGAGTCTGATACCGAATGACTGGAAGTATACACATACGCAGACACTTTATAAATGGATTGAGTTAAGAATCCTAAAAATTCGTCGCAACCTTTCACGTTTTTCCTTGGATGCAGGTATATCCAGCCAATGAGTCCTGAATAAGATGAAACGCGAATCCTGGATTTCACTGCTAGCCAGCTACCTAGACTACAGTATAATGATTGTCCGGGCAGTATCGAGGCATCCATATAGAAACTCACCTGTCAATAGAAGTCGAACACACCGACTCAGTATAATAATGG